ACGCACACTCTTATTTCAAGCAAGCATGCCTGGCAAATTTTGGGTTGAATCTCTTCATGCGGCCACCTATCTTCTCAACAGACTACCCACCAAAGCTCTCGCCGCACCTCGCCCCTACTTCGCTCTTTTTTCCAAAACACCCGACTATACTCTCCTTCGCACGTTTGGTTGTTTATGTTACCCAAACCTCTCCGCCACCATGCCTCACAAACTGTCGCACCGTTCGACAGCGTGTGTGTTTCTCGGTTACCCCTCTAATCATCGTGGTTACCGCTGCATGGATCTCAAGTCTCGTCGCATCATTATTTCTCGGCATGTGATTTTTGACGAAAGTCAGTTCCCTTTTGCACCAGATTTTTCTGTCTCTAACCTGCAGCAGCCGCTGTCGCCTCCTCCGGCCGATGATTCGATCGATGTGCTCGCCCCGGTTCCCGTGCCACCCATGCACGCTGGACCGCGTCGGTCTGCTGGGCCGCGTCGGTCTGCTGGGCCGCGCCCAGCCTCCTCAGCGCCTGCTCCAGCGACGCCGCGCACGCCGGTCCACGCACCGGCTTCGCCGGCCCATGCCCCGGCTGCATCGGCCGCCTCCTCGCCGGTCACACCGGCCCACACGCCGGTATCCCCGGCCTCGCCTGCCCCCTTGGATGGGCACACGCCGGCCCATGAGGATTCGCCCACGATCGCGTCTCCCAATGACGCTAGCGACGATGCAGCCTCTGGCTCTGCGTCTCCCGCGTCCAGCTCGACCACAACCATGCCACGACCATCGCCCCCGCCCCCTGTTCGTCAGATGATCACCCGCCGTCAGGCTGGAAAGATCATTGGTCCGCGGGAACGCCTCAACTTGCACGTCGCTCCCATCGCCGCTCCATCGCCAGTCCCCAAGTCCGTTCGTGGTGCTCTCAAAGACCCGAACTGGTTGGTGGCTATGACTGACGAGTACGGTGCTCTCCTCGCCAACAACACGTGGGATCTTGTACGCCCACCCGCCAACGCCAACATCGTCTCCGGCAAGTGGGTCTTTCGTCACAAGTTCAAACCCGACGGCAGCCTCGACCGCTACAAAGCACGCTGGGTGTTGCGTGGTTTCTCCCAGGAGCACGGCATTGATTTCGACGAGACCTTTAGCCCGGTGGTTAAACCAGCTACCATCCGGGTTATCCTCTCCGTCGCTCTCTCCTCCAACTGGAAGATTCGCCAGCTCGACGTCAAGAACGCTTTTCTCCATGGGCATCTCGACGAGGTGGTATATTGCCACCAGCCCACTGGCTTTGTCGACTCCGCTCGCCCTGACCATGTGTGCCGCCTCAACCGTGCACTCTATGGTCTGAAGCAAGCCCCTCGTGAGTGGTACCATCGCTTTGCGACCTTCATCACCACTCTCGGCTTCGCCTGCTCGAAGTCTGACACCTCGCTCTTCATACTACATGGTACGCTCGGCACGGCGTACCTACTTCTCTATGTCGACGACATCATCCTTACGGCGTCTACCTCGGCCTTGCTCGAGCGTGTCATCGCTGCCCTCAGCGCCGAGTTCGCCATGACTGACTTGGGTGAGCTTCATCACTTCCTCGGCCTTGCCGTTCGACGTGATTCTCGGGGGATGTTTCTCTCATAGACTCAGTACGCTCTCGAGATTCTCGAGCGTTCTGGCATGAGCTCCTGCCACTCTGCATCGACGCCCGTGGACACTTCGCCTAAGCTCGCCGTTGCGGCTGGCCCCCCCGTTGCTGATCCTTCGGAGTACCGGAGTCTTGCTGGTGCCCTCCAGTACTTGACGTTCACTCGACCGGACATCGCCTACGCCGTGCAGTAAATATGCCTCCACATGCACGACCCGCGCGACCAGCACTTGTCTCTGGTCAAACGAGTTCTTCGGTACGTCAAGGGTACGCTTCACCATGGACTTCAACTCGTGCCTTCTTCCATGGATCGTCTCGTCGCCTACACTGACGCAGACTGGGCTGGTAGTCTGGACACACGTCGCTCCACCTCCGGCTACTGTGTGTTCTTCGGCGACAACCTCATTTCTTGGTCTTCCAAGCGCCAGCACACTGTCTCCCGTTCCAGCGCTGAAGCCGAGTATCGAGCTGTCGCCAACGCCGTCGCTGAAGCCAGTTGGCTCCGCCAACTTTTCCAGGAGCTTCACCAACCTCTGCCCAGTGCTACTGTTGTCTTCTGCGACAATGTTAGTGTTGTCTACATGTCTACGAATCCGGTTCAGCATCAGTGCACCAAACACATCGAGATCGACCTTCACTTCATTCGAGATCGTGTTGCGTTGGGGCACATTCGAGTTCTTCATGTGCCTTCGTCTCGACAATTCGCGGACATATTCACCAAAGGTCTACCATCACCGTTGTTCTTGGACTTTCGATCCAGTCTCAGCGTCCGAGAATCTCCCGTTGTGACTGCGGGGGGATGTTAGGCAATCCGAATATGTCAGTATATTTGGTTATACCCTGCCATGTTCAGAGCTTGATATCTTGCATGTAATCAGGCCATTATGGTTAGGATTTGTACAGATTGTTTCCATGTATATCTTGTAATTGTCTATATATATGAGATAGCAGGAAACCACCGATTGTGTGGTCAATCATTCTCTTCCTCTAATTCTATCAAGAACCGCGTGCTTTTCTTCCAACCAACGTTGATGACAATTGCACTGCACCAGCCAAAGTCAACAAACAGTATCTCACTACAGTACTTGATCAGTAATTTTGAGTGTTCTTTTCCAAGCGTTTTTTTTCCCTCAAATGAAGACCTTTGACCTTGGAATGTATCTACAATAGTTTGAATAGTATTCCGAGTGTTTTTCCCTAAGACACAAATCTTTCAACTTCAATAGGCACGGCGTGCCGCGGCATCAACCTTTCCTAGTATGTAGTGCATATTGTATTTGTGCATCAAGGTGTCATGTGTTGGGTAACCTCGCGCCTCTACCGCATGCGTGTCGCCTTCACCAAGTGCCCTCTGCCAAGCCACCACAATGCTGACCATGGTCAAGCCACTGGTTATTCTAGGAAAATATTATGGCACCTCCATCACAGGGGCCTCCTGGTCTTCTTCTTTCTAGTTTCTGCCGCGTTTGTTTTTTCCAAGGCGCGGAGAGGCGAGCAGACAATCAATCAGATCAGTTGGATTTAAGGGATCATGCAGAAGCGTATATGGAGGGAGCATCTGTTTTTCGGGCCATACATGACATATGCATCAATCAATAACCGCCTTGCAACTAGCTGCATTGTTTAAGCATGATTGATTAGCTGCATATTCTCTATGGCAAGTTGCATCTGTTTTATCAATTATTCTGCAGTTGGCTACATATTTTATTGATTAGGTCCAACGTCTTCAAAAAAAATTTAATTGGTTCTCTCGCGCCATCAACCCAATGATATATCCAAATTAGAAAAAAATTATATGTCTGAGCGAGATTAAGTCAGGGCTGGATGATTAATTAAAATCCCTCGTGCTACATGCTTCTGCCGGATAGTTATACACCCAACACAAACCCGGGTAGATCGGAGCTAGAAAAAATAGCACTGGTGCACAACTTGACATCAACCCAATGATATATCCAAATTACAAAAAAATTAGAGTAATGTGATAGGCTATATCAAGCATATACAACAATAACAAATAAGTGACGGTGAAGTGCTTACTAAAATAAATAAATAATCCTGAAACAACTCGTGAAGGATAAGCGAAAGCAGAAAATGCGTCATATGACCTTGAATACTCGGTAATCTATAAAATTATCAAATGAACTTAAAATTATAAAGTGAAAATAGTGAAATGAACAAATAAAATTACAAAGTAAGGGCGGTAGATCCTCTTATTTTCACGAAAGATTGACCTGTTGATTATATTGTTTCTACACATATCATATGGAAGTGCAACTCAAATTGTTACCGTCGACCGGATTATGCAAATGTGTTTTCATAACCTTCATTTCTGATATGTTTTTGTGTTGGTGTTTTTCTTCCAGGAAGATATTTTGGTGTTTTTCTTCCAGGAAGATATTTTTGTTGGAAAGTGAAGGTCCTACATTAGACGAGGGCTAGGTACTTAGAATATATATATAATAAGAGTATAGTATTGGGTGAATTTATCAATACCTCAATAATTAAGGATCGGATGGGTATGTGCCTCGTGGTCCGGCGATGGGCGGCGTCTGCGACTCCGAGTTTCAGCGACTAGGCGGAGCATATCGTTGGGGCATAGCGGCGGACGCATCTCGTCGTCTAAAGATTGTACTCCTAATCGCCTAGAGATTAGCAAAACTGAAAGGGAGCAAGTAGATGGGGCGCAGATCGATCAATCCATTCATGCGTTTATGTCATTGGTTCTCCTCCCGGTACCAGCGTACATGGGCACACATCCAATGTACAAGTACAAACAGGCCCGGGTGGCCGACGTGTAATGCTGATTAATAAACCGTTGAACATGATGCATGTGCGAACCAACCTGTGATTGGATGGTTAGAGTGACAGTGACATTCCCAGCCCACCAGGGTTTAAATCTTGGTGCTCACATTATTTCTAAATTTATTTCAGGATTTTCGGCGATGCGCTTTCAGTGGGCGGAGACGTTTCCTTAGGGGTGAGTGTACGCGTGTATGTATAAGTGCTTGCGTCTGTACTGTGTTAAAAAAAGTGATGCATGTACACCAGGGAAGACACACGTGCTCTACCCCTACGCTGAATTGCAAACAAAGTAGTATGTGAAAGTAAACAAATGACAAGAAAAGGTTAATTATTTTGAAAACAGATTAAACATCAAGTCCAAATTTACTAGGAAAAAATGCAACCGGTTTTCGCAGATCCAACATATCCTCCCATTTATTTAATCATTTTACCACGAAATGCGGAACAACACCTTTTCCATCTCACCATATGAATCACACCAAATTTAGAACAACAGGTTACATGATAACAATAGAACAATACGATTCAAACACTTTTGGGAGATCTAGCACATGGAATGATTCCCTTGAGAGGAGACTACGCCACGCATGAGGGCCATTGGCAACGGCAATCCGCGGAAGTCCCGGAACAAGGGCTAACAACACATGTTCCAGCACAATAATACATATTCACTCCCATTCCAACCTCGAACGCCCGAAGCAACTCATCTGTTTTCATGCCCTGCAGTGAGCGAGCCATGGCCGTCGGAGCTATCGCGAGTTGCAGCATCACCATTGCAGCGACCAGCGCCACCACACCAATTGTCTTCTTACCACTCTCCATACTGTCCTCTCCGAGCCTAGTTTGGTTTGGTTGATTTTGTTTGTTTGAGTTGTTTCGTTCCTATCAATCTCAACCCTTTTATAAGCATTTGGCAATACTGTTTCACCAACCGGACTTTATTATATGTACAATCGAGACAAAAATACAACTACTCCTGCCAAACTTCCTTTGCTGCTGACGATGCATGTCTCATTATCTACATCATGCACAGTTTCACAAGCGTGCTTGACGGGTCCGCCCATTTGGTAATAGCCAGGGAACCCCTGCAGCCTTGCATTCTCACGGATGGTCAGAACACAGGCCTGCTTTGGCCGCAGTGCTGAGTATAATGTTTATTTAGAAAATATAGGATAGGGTGGAATTTATTCTATCTTGACTCATACTTCAAGATAACCATATATATATATATATATATATATATATATATATATATATATATATACATACATACATATATATATATATACATACATACATATATATATATATACATACCACGAGGCCTAAGCAATAAACAACAATTTCATCAATCTTCTCTATTCTCTTCAAACATGGTATCAGCCTAACCAATCCAACCCCAACTGCCGCCCGCCACTTCCGCCCCGCGCGCTGCCCGCGGGACGGTTGGCCTTCATGACTGCCGCCGGGGGCTGCGCCGTCCATACCTAGGATTCGTCTGCGGTCTGGCAGTCGTGTTGACTGGCTGCCCTGGAGAGTCTTGTTCCCGAGCCTTGCTCCGTGTTTTTTCTCTCTCCCACCGGTCATCTTGATCGGCGTTTCCTTTTTGGTTTTCCCATCTACGATCGGTTTGCGCTGCCCACCGCCGCCATCGACCCCACGCCTCTACTTCGACACCGACACGACCGACCGGCCACTTCTCCGACCCCGCGCCCTCACGCGTGATAGACGGCCCGTCACAGCCGTCGTTTGCGCCTCTGCGCATCCGTCGTCATGCGTCGGCCGTCGCCACCTTACTCTGAACAGGATTCCTGCATCACCACCCCACCTCCGCCTCGGTCGTGTATGTACGACCGCCTCCACACGACATTGCTTTCGCCACTCGGGGCTGGCCGCTCGGGCGCCGGCGCTGACGCGCTTGTCTGCACATCATCACACGTCGGCCGTCGTCGCCAGTTTCAGCTCGGACTCCGCCACCACCCCGCCTCCACCGAGCGGCGTCCATGACATCATGCGCGATTGGATTGATCACCTGCCCACACCTCGATCCGCCCAGTCTGCCCGTGCGACCGATCGGGCCAATCGGTTGTGCATGCCTCCGAAGGTCCCGTGAAGATTGTCCCGAGTACAACCACTAGTAGAAAAGGGGGCTTTGGTTCAGGTCGGGTCAGCCCATTAGTCCCGGATCAGTCCAGAACCGGAACCCATGGGGGCATTGGTCCCGGTTCGTAAGCCCAGGGGCCGGCCGGGCCACGTGGGCCATTGGTCCTGGTTCGTCTGGACCTTTTGGTCCCGGTTGGTGGGACGAAGCGGCACCAATGGGCCTGGCTCCTGGCCCACCACCATTGGTCCCGGTTGGTGGCTTGAACCGGGACCACAGGCTGCCCTTTAGTCCTGGTTCATGCCACGAACCAGGACCAATGAGGTGCCTATATATACCCCTCGCCCGCGAGCAGAGCACTCCAGTGCTCTGTTTTTCTCTGACCGGGGAGGGGGGGGGGGCTTTGTAGTGTTCTAGCTCACCTCCTATGCACATGAGGTGTTCGATGAAATGCCCGAGCCACACTAGTTAAGCTTTCTCTTCTCGAAGCTCGACCTCAAAGCTCCATTTTCCTCGATATTTGTCTAGGTTTAGCGGCCCGTCACGTCCCATTCCCGTCTTCACCGCCGTCGATCGCCCGCGCCGATCTCGTCGCCGGCACCACCGTGGTGAGCCTCTTGTTCTTATCTTCTTTCTGAAAGAAAAAAAAATTCTTGCTTTAGATAGATACTTGTCTAATTTTCTTACTATTTTATTGCTTGTTATTATATAGTGCGATGGTTTTGGTATCCGCCCCCGTCGGCCCTCGTCCTGTCTATGATTCGGATGTGGTATATATTATCTTTATAACTATTGGTTCATTTATTGTTTATTAAAATTATGCCGACCAACGTGACATATATTTTATTTATCTAGGAGGTATGTGAACCGGAAATTCCAACCGACCCTATTGTTGAGAGGTTAAATTTAGTTGAAGAAGAAAACAATTTCTTGAAGGAAAAAATAAAAAAAATGAGGAGGAGAAGATGATATTGGAGTTGCATGTTGCGGATGTCGTCGATGATCCCAAGATCAAGATGGATGCAATGCGCTTGAAGATTAGAAAGATTAGAAAATATGCCATTCATACCTGGGCTTGGTATCATTATGCCGTTGGATCAATTGTTACCTTGGTTGCGATTATGATCGCATTTGTTTTCGCATTGAAATGTTTTACATAGTTTCAATGTATGGTTTAATTAATTAGATGCTCTGGAGAGCTATATGTTGTTAGATGAGAACTATGTATGTACTTTGGTTTTAATGTGACGATGAACTTCTACTAATTTGGTCACTTAATTATCTATTCATGATGTTCTGTAATGGTTTTTGACACACTTAATTATATATAATGCATGCAGATGAACCGGCAATGGATGTACGGTGACAGACACACCTCCAAGTACATTAAGGGCGTGCATGAGTTTCTCGAAGCGGTGAGGCAAACAAGCAGAATGGTTTTATGTGTTGTCCATGCCCTAAATGTGGGAATACGATGTCTTACTCTGACCGGAAAATCCTTCACGCCCACCTGCTTTACAAGGGTTTCATGCCACACTATAATGTTTGGACGAGGCACGGAGAAATAGGGGTTATGATGGAAGACGGCGAAGAAGAAGAGTACGATGACAACTATGTGCCCCCTGAATATGGTGATGCTGCAACGGGGGGAGCTGGTGAAGATAAAGAGGAACCAGACGATGTGCCCAATGATGCTGCAACGGGAGAAGCTGCTGAAGATCAAGAGGAACCAGACGATGTGCCCGATGATGATGATCTCCGCCGGGTCATTATCGATGCAAGGACGCAATGCGAAAGTCAAAAGGAGAAGCTGAAGTTCGATCGCATGTTAGAGGATCACAAAAAAGGGCTGTACCCCAATTGCGAAGATGGCAACACAAAGCTCGGTACCGTACTGGAATTGCTGCAGTGGAAGGCAGAGGATGCTGTGCCTGACAAAGGATTTGAGAAGCTACTGAAAATATTAAAGAAGAAGCTTCCAAAGGATAACGAATTGCCTGACAGTACATACGCAGCAAGGAAGGTCGTATGCCCTCTAGGATTGGAGGTGCAGAAGATACATGCATGCCCTAATGACTGCATTCTCTACCGCGGTGCGTACAAGAATCTGAACGCATGCCCGGTATGTGGTGCATTGCGGTATAAGATCGGACGAGATGACCCTGGTGATGTTGACGGCGAGCCCCCCAGGAAGAGAGTTCCTGTGAAGGTGGTGTGGTATGCTCCTATAATACCACGGTTGAAACGTCTGTTCAGAAACAGAGAGCATGCCAAGTTGATGTGATGGCATAGTGAGGACCGTAAGAAAGGCGGGAAGTTGAGAGCACCCGCTGACGGGTCGCAGTGGAGAAAAATCGAGAGAAAGTAGTGGGCTGAGTTTGCAAAGGACCCAAGGAATGTATGGTTTGCTTTAAGCGCGGATGGCATTAATCCTTTCAGGGAGCAGAGCAGCAATCACAGCACCTGGCCCGTGACTCTATGTATGCATAACCTTCCTCCTTGGATGTGCATGAAGCAGAAGTTCATTATGATGCCAGTTCTCATCCAAGGCCCTAAGCAACCCGGCAACGACATTGATGTGTACCTAAGACCATTAGTTGAAGAACTTTTACAGATGTGGAATGGAAACGGTGTACGTACGTGGGATGAGCATAGACAGGAGGAATTTAACCTAAAGGCATTGCTGTTCGTGACCATCAACGATTGGCCCGCTCTAAGTAACCTTTCAGGACAGACAAACAAGGGATACCACGCATGCACGCACTGTTTCGATGACACTGAAAGTATATACCTGGACAAATGCAGCAAGAATGTGTACCTGGGCCATCGTCGATTTTTTCCGACCAACCATCAATGTCGAAAGAAAGACAAGCATTTCAAAGGCGAGGCAGATCACTGGAAGAAGCCCGCCATGTGTACCGGTGATCACGTACTTGCTATGGTCAATGATTTACACGTAATCTTTGGAAAGGGTCCCGGCGGACTAGCTGTTTCGAATGACGCTGAGGGACACGCACCCATGCGGAAGAAGAAATCTATATTTTGGGACCTACCCTACTGGAAAGACCTAGAGGTCCGCTCTTCAATCGACGTGATGCACGTGACGAAGAACCTTTGCGTGAACCTGCTAGGCTTCTTGGGCATGTATGGAAAGACAAAAGATACACCTAAGGCATGGGAGGACCTGCAACGTTTGCACGAAAAAGACGGCATGCCTCCGAAGCAGTATGAAGGTCCTGCCAGCTACGCTCTTATGAAAGAAGAGAAATAAATCTTCTTTGAATGCCTGCTCAGTATGAAGGTCCCGACCGACTTCTCGTCGAATATAAAGGGAATAATAAATATGCCAGAGAAAAAGTTCTAGAACCTAAAGTGTCATGACTGCCACATGATTATGACGCAACTGCTTCCGGTTGCATTGAGGGGGCTTCTACCGGAAAACATCCGATTAGCCATTGTGAAGCTATGTGCATTCCTCAATGCAATCTCTCAGAAGGTGATCGATCCAGAAATCGTACCAAGGCTAAGGAGTGATGTGGCGCAATGTCTTGTCAGTTTCGAGCTGGTGTTCCCACCATCCTTCTTCAATATCATGATGCACGTCCTAGTTCATCTAGTCGATGAGATTGTCATTCTAGGACCCGTATTTCTACACAATATGTTCCCCTTTGAGAGGTTCATGGGAGTCCTAAAGAAATATGTCTGTAACCGCGCTAGGTCA